AAAGAAATAAACAAAAGTCGAAGCACTCCGACCACAAAATCCATTAGTCTATGTCCAATTTTGTCAATGGACCATCACAATCCAATCAACAACAACAACAACTTTCACCAACCACCAACCAGCAACCAGCCGGTCGTCTGGTGAACAACCTAAGCTCCAATATTAAATTAAGACCCTGTCGACCAACTTGTTTCGTTTCGATCGAAAACGATGAAAACTGAAAGTGAGTGAAACAAGCGCCTTGATCACATTTTCCTTTTTCAACTGCAATATTTCGGGATCTTTACACAGTTGCAGACAGATTTTACGATGCATCTTTCAGCGTTCCCCGCTCAAGACCTGAACTGGGGGCAGTGTTGGTGGGGTTCGGTTCGCTTGGAAAATCGATCTATTTCGGGTCAATAATAGATGCTGCCCCTGTGCAACCATTCGATTTTATTGCCGGGGATAAAGCATTTATTGACTTGTTTAGCATAAATAGATTACGACTTGTAGACAGGAACAGGGCCGCAGTTATTGTAAACAGAACATGTGAGTTTATGTGAGTTGGAATTGATCTGTAACATTTCCATTGATACAACGTTCGCCTGTTCCTATATATTCAAGCTAAGCCAAAATTAACCTAATTTCCCTGTAATTCTTTTCTTATTTTGCATTTGCAATGCACGTTTTAAACGCCCACGCAAAGACTGCCAAGAACTAAAAGGTGAAACTGAGGCAACATGCTAACCTCAATTCACGGCTTGACGGGGTCCAGACAGGCAGACAGGCAGACAGACAGACAGACAACAGCTGTTTGCTGTCACACTCTGATCCACCTCTACCTCTACCTCTGATTCTAGCTGCCTCTTCCCACCCACATATCTCACCTGGGCTTTGCATAATAATGAAATCCACAAGATACACAGACAACTCTGGCAATCACAGTTAGATCTCCCTCCCTCTCTCTCTCTCTCTCTCTCTTTGCATTATGTAAGCAATCATTCTTTCTCTCTCTGTGCCTTGTTTGCTTAGTCAGCAGAGCATTAAATACAATTTTTGTTCAGACTTCAAGGCAAAATTCTTAGACCAAAAAATTTCCTCTTTGCATATCCTCCCTCCACAGCGGCATCCATCCCAGTTTTTCCGGAATTTCTTTTGTTTGGATTCTGACCATCCAACAAGTCTCTAATTACCACAAAATGCAATGCCTGCCTAAGTTTTCTATTCGTTTTTCTATTTATTCCGTTCAGTGCTTTATTTCGGTCCGTATAACAATGGGGAATGGGGGACGATTCATTGCCAGGCTTATCGAAATGTTCGACGAGTTTTATAGGTGAAATGCCCTTGTCGAAGCCAAATACATACACATATACACACATATTTGTATGTACAAATAATGAAAGGTCAAAGAAGCTATGGGAGTTCATGACTGATAATGTTCTAGTCTAGTTTATTGGGATGAATTCATTAAGAACTGTTGTGCCTTTTGGAATGAGCAGCTTGCGTATTGTTCTCATGGAACTAGTTCAAAGAGAGCACTTTCCAAGTAGAATTAATGGAGTTGCGACTAGTTCATTCATTACACATACATATGTATGTATCTTGAATATCACACACAAATTTTGTTAACTGAACCAACGCAATTAAAACATTAATATTTAATGAAGCAAACTTTCCCTTTTTGACAGCTCTGTCTGCCAAGATTTCAATATCGGTTCAACAATTTGCTGCCTTACAAATGGCTCAAATACAAAAGCCACCTACTCGTACTCGTGCAACAAAATTATCATTAGCTGCTCTTCAGCAAAATTGAATTCCACAACATATTTGCATACAATCGCCCGGTCTTGTGTAGTAGAGGGGAGTGGTGCTCCCCCCACCAGCTCATTAAATGGAAATTTTACTCATCTGCGCATTTTTCATGCAACAAAGTAGAAAAATGTTGGCAAAGGAAAATTCAACAAAGAGCACATTCAATCGTTAAGCCAAAGAGTTTCCGATCCATGTCGCTGTTCATGTGCAGAGATTTTTCAGGAAAATGTTCACATTGAATTATGGAAAATATTAAACAAAATGAATATATTTTGTTTGGTTACAGAAAGAACACGGGAGAGGACAGCCACCAGTGTCGATTGAAACCCGCGAAACGCGAAAACATACTGAATGGAACCAGAACCAGAATTTCAGGGGCACAATCATCCAAAGCACAATCATTCACAGAGAAAGAGAGACGATCCGCAGAGAGGGAAAGACTGAGAGCAATCTTTATAAATAGGAAAAATAATAATCAACAAACAAAAGTCAGAGAACGCACGAAACGATCCTCTCCGGCTGGGGGTATCAACAATCCACAATTTCGAGAAAAACTTTTCGCCATATGTCCGAGGGTGACTCTCTTTGCTGCTCTCCCTCTCTCCCACTGCTCCTGCATCTCTCTCCGACATATGGTTCTTGACTCAGCGACAACGCATAATTATGAGGAATTTAATTGGAGCTGCCGGCTCGCAGTACTGCCCTCCCCCAGCGGTACGCATCCACAAACAAAAGCGCAAGTGAATAAGCAGGGACACGAATCCAACCGAAGTAATCGCACGGGGACGCATGCGGGATGGTGTCTGCCTCTGGCCGCTGGCCTCTGGCCTCTGTCTGCTATCTGTTTTCTGCTTCGCACTCCCGTTTATTCCGTTGGTGTCATTGTCTGTTTTTGTTGTTGTTTTTTAGACCTTTTTTCTTATTGGTATTTTGGTTTTTATGTTTTGTTTTTAGTTCCGGTTCGTCTTCCCACTTTTCTTCTCCCTTCTGCCGTTAGATTTATATGCCTGCTAATTGACTTTGCATTGCTAATGAAAGAATATTTTTCATTTTCTCGAAGCTAACGGTATGGAAAATGCTTGAGCGTAGATTGGGAAAGGGATACTCTTACGTTCATGGGGAGATACTTTTAGAATGAACTTGAAAATTCTGTGCGTGATTCCATGTGGAAGTCGTTGATTTATTTTAATACGTTTTTTATGAAGGGGGAAATTCTCTCTCAAAAAAAGCAATGCTAAGGCAACGAACGAATGTTGTGGAAGGAAATGCAGGGAAAACTTTAAATGGGCTGAATTGTTAGGAAAATGTCTAAATGGAACTATTTCCCGTACATAACAAAAAGTTGGAAATAAACTTTACAAATTTTTAAACTATACATCATTGAAGAATGCATGAATATGGACGGACGTTCATAGTTCAAGTAGTTCCAGTAGCTATGCCACTCTAAAGACAATTCTGATAATGTTGAGTAAATTTTTGCTCACAAATCATCGCGATTACGTGTATTTTATATGCTTTGCTGAGGCTATTTAAAAATGTTTTTAATACTTTTTTGTTTAATCATCATGCCTATTATCTTTTTTTAGTATTTAAAATTTATATTTTAAACTTTTATCATTTTTTTATTGGTTTTTAAATGTTGTTTCTTTTCCTTGCCATCAATTTCATCATTTATCAATTCGATGCCACACTTGATTCCATTTTTCCATAAAACACTTTCGCAGACTTATTCAACCGCACTTTTCAATTTGTGATCAATCAACCAATTGCCTCGGGATAGGATGGGGATGTGCACTCGGGAATGGTTCGAACGGGGTGGGGTGTATGGGAGGGAGGGTAGAAATTTTGATTAGCCGGCGGCACTGCGGGGCACAGACACGTAAGGCTTTTCCACAACATACGCTTTAATTAACAGTGTATTTTCGCCATTATGATGGGCTTTATTCTCCATATTAAATAATCGTTTAATGAGCCGTCAGCCCGGAGCCCGAGCCCGAGACCGGCCAGGCCAAGGCACCTGACACACCTGATAAACAAAGTGGATCGATAAAAAGGCCACCAACACACGCAAACAAAATATGTAGTATCATTTTAGTAGCTGTAGCAAACGGAATTTACACTTTTTCGGCAGTTTTTCTTTTCTTTTTGGCACGAAACTTGGTTGCAAGCTATTTAGACACCCACCAACGAGAGTGCAACGGCAGGGTGCAACGGCAACGGGCAACCCAAACAGCTGCATGTTCAATTGCACGCGAAACCCACCAAAGAGAGTCCCAGAGAGAGCGGCAGAGGGCCGACCCCAGCGCGACGACTTTCCGTTCCGTCCGTCTCTGCTGTTCGTGTAGCGCACGCGGCAAGAGTTAAATGCAATCTGAGCAGAGCCAGAGACAGAGACAGAGCGCCAGCGGCCCCAGCGAGCGCCAAGCGCCCAACGCTGGCGTCTCTGCCGGCGTCGTCACACAGCTGGGTCCGCGACTTGTTTTGTTTGCCCAAAAACAGAAGCAGAAGCAAACCACGAGGGAGGAGGGCTAGTTATGAGCGCCGAAGCCTTTAATACTCTTTGAGATCGATCGCACGGATGTCAGCTGTACAGCTGTATATGGAATTGTGATTTCAGTAATTTAATTGAGTTCGAGAGATAGTTTCTACGACAAACCTACCGACTAGTTTACAGTGAAGAGCACAGACGGACCACGATCTAAACATCTGGTCAAAATCAATATACCCTCGTCGAGGGTATAACAAAAGCAAAGTAGAGGCAGCGCAGCAGCAACAAAAAACGCGACTAATGCTACTTAGTAGTGGAGGAAATTTGTATTGCTCGTAGAATTGGGAGAGGGCAGAGAGAGCCAGACAAAGTAGCTAAAGAGATTCGTTCAAAGTGCATGGGTGAAGTAGCATGTTGGGTGGGATGGGGGTAGGGGAGGGCTGCGGGGCAATGGAATCACGAATCGAGTGAAAAGAATCAGCTGCGACGCTTGTAAGCAGCTCTCCAACAGAATTGAGTCAATTAACACTAATAGGGTGGAGAATAAAAGGACAGCCAGTCCGGGAAGTAGTTCACATGGAAAATCCGCAAGATAAGCGATGGAAACAAGCTCATAGAATAGTAAGGGTACTCCCTTGCCATAAATAGTAAGCTAGATTCGAAAATAAATGGCATATTAGTTGATCTACTTCCCAAATATTAAAACACAAAAACCGTATACATATGCAATGCCTCAGCTCATTTCATTAAGTGTTTCTCTTGTTTGAGGGCGAATACAACACTGTTTATGAATGCTACGGAACGGAACTAGTTCATTTTTGGGACCAATGTGTGTGTGCGTATATGGGTGTAAACTAACTAGTTGTTTGTTAATGTTATTGGTGGTGGAGGGATTGTGTTGCCAAGTTATAAGGCGCCACAGTCCTCAATGAAGATTCGCTTGGCAGTCTTGCCAGTGGTGGAGCCGTACGATTCGACCTTTTGGATAATATCCATGCCCTCGACGACCTTGCCAAAGACCACATGCTTTTTGTCCAGCCAGTTGGTCTTGCTGGTGCAGATGAAGAACTGCGATCCATTGCTGTTGGCCCCAGCATTGGCCATAGAGAGGATGCCCGGTCCAGTGTGCTTCAGCTCGAAGTTCTCGTCGGGGAACTTGTTGCCGTAAATGGAACGCCCGCCGGTTCCGTTCTGATTGGTGAAGTCTCCACCCTGGCACATGAAGTTGGGTATGATGCGATGGAAGGGAGAGCCCTTGTAGCCAAAGCCCTTCTCGCCAGTGCACAGGGCCCGGAAATTCTCGGCCGTCTTCGGGACCACATCCGAGCGCAGCTCCATGACGATGCGTCCCAGCTTCTCATTTCCAGCGGTAATGTCGAAGAACACTCGTGGCAACGACATTTTTGCCGAATTCGTGAACGAACGCAAAAATGCCAGATCTAGGGGGTTTAATTTTTATTTTTATTTTCAAAACCGAAAATTGTTTTAAAAATTGTTTAGGATATTTACCGGAAAAACTACTTTTGAATTGTAATATGTAAGATTTAGATGCTTACACCCGAACAGTTGAAGTTAGAATAAAGTTTTATTTTAGGGAGGTCAAGAATCAGGACTGAATCCAAAGCAAATTCGATGTCACAGCCTTCTTAATACAAAAATATTTCAAATTTCTAGGAAAGATATACAAAAATTCAAGAAAAGCTGACTAGATCATTGGAAAGTATTCCATAGCAGGTCTAGTTAATTTCAAACAGTGGACAGACAGCCTTATCTTCAGTTATAAAGCAACTCAGAGATACATATATATTTCGATATCTTTATAGATCCTACCACGTAACTGTGTTCTCTAAACACTTCCCTACACACCACCCTAGTCGGTGAATGATCAAACTCAGCACTATTTGCATTTCATTCGCATTTGTGTACCAACCATATAGTGTGTGTATCTTTCCATATACCCCATGAGTATGTGTTCTTATAATTAGGCAAATACTTAGCCAATACCTATTGCCAGGGCAAATAAAAGAGTTGCTCGAAGCTGTGAGAATTATCCAAGTTTCAAGAAATCGCAATACCGATTTCAATGCAGGCATTTGTTTGCATTCAATATAGCAACCCACTAGCTTCACATATATACTCGTATATACATATATATATCTGTTTGTGTTTGGCTCTATCAGTGTACAACGTACTCGTATTTTTCAGTGTTTTGTTAGTTGTCGGGGCGACGTACCAAAGGGACGGCTACTTCGGGGTAAATACCTGCAAAGGGGGCGGCCAAGGAAGGTTGGTATACGATAAGATTGCCTGGTTACTGAGAAACTTGTAAACAGAAACATTGGGGAACCCGTCATCGTCTGCTCGAATAATTTTGTTGATAATCCTTTCAAAACAAAAAACACCTCACTATAGGAAATATTAAAACTCTTCAACCTACAGCTTTCATTTCACTTCTTCTTCCCCCAAAAATGCCAAGAGTTCAAGATGATGTGGTATAAGAGTTACAGGCATTAAAACGAGTGATCCGCACGTAGGCCGTAATTGTTAACTCCCCAGCAGGCCGGCAACAGCAACTGTCTCATTATTTATCATAAATTGTTGTACGTCCAAATAGCGAAAGAGCCAGCCCAAAGTTGGAGCTGGACTGTGGCAAGTGCAGCCTCAGCTTCGACTCAGCTCGATCCCAACTGGATTCGACGCGACTAGTTACCCATTAATGTAACGCCCCGTTTGCCTTGTACAACCTTGTGCAAAAATATAATGAAAAAAGCTACAAAAAAACAAAAACAAAAACAGATACAAGACTACAGCAGACATGACGTAATAGAGACTAACAGAAGGCGTAGGATTTGTACTTGGCAACTGCTCCCAGAGCAAGAGCCGCACCCTCACCCCCATAGCCAGAGCCAGGCCAGAGCCAGGCCAGGCGCCTCTCCGCAGAGCGTGGTGTGTGCGAGTGGGAACATACATAAATCCACATTATGGCCAATTCTTGGGGCGATTTCTCAGCTCAGATAGAGGCAGCACACAGCGCACAGCACGGACAGTAGAAACACTTTTCTGGGTTCGTTTTCACACTCACCCACTAGAATTGGTAAGATAAGCTAGTGTCTGCTAAAATACGAAGTATAAATAGATTTGCTACGAAAACAGGAAGATAATGGCCATGGAAATGAAACGACTGTAAAATATAAAGGAAGGAAGTCCCACCCATCATCCCACCCAGAGTAGAAACCTCTCTAGCTATTTTCCCCATTTAGGCTAAACGTTTTCGTAAACATCTTCAAGTGTATAATTCTTTTTCGGTCTACTTTAAGGCGCATTTGCATTAATTATGATAATTGCAACGTTTATGCTTCATTTTGTTGTGTGTGTGTGGGTCTGTCTCCATGGCATCCACGACCAATTCTCATTCTCTTTTGTCTTTAAGTTTTTGTATATTTTTTTTGCTATTTCTGGGTCAACGTCACATTTGGGTTAAAATCGATTTTCGTTTATGGTTTTTACACCACGAATTTTTCCTAGTTGAGTATCTCTTTCAGTTTCGCCTTTATGCTTTTTATGTTGTGACGGGTCTGGGCTAGGGGTCTGGGGTCTGTGGTCTTGGGCCTTAAGGTGGGCGTCGCTCAACGAGTGGCAGCAAAGGTGCCAGCAAAATTGTTTAATCGATAAGACGACCATCGCAGGTGGGGAACCCATCCGTTGTTGTCTCTTCATAGGGAGGGTGTGGGTACACAAACCGTTTTCCTTTGCCGCTTTCAGGTGATGGATCGATCGATGAGCTACGTAGGGGGGGTACGGTATTAGTTCAACGGTCTTGCGGGTACCATCTTCGCTCGGGTACTTAAATATTTTCTGTGCTAGTCTTCGTAATGGTTGGGGCGGGAATTTCTTGGATTTTTCATTCTTCGTTACGAGTATCCACTGTTTCGGCTCGGACTAAATTTTAGTTCCCTTTCAAGTTTATATAACAAGACCCGACCCGAAAAGGTGTTTGTTGATTCATGATCAAACAGCAGTCCAAGCCTGCCAAAGGTATTTAATATTAATGTTTAGCTGCAATTCCTTCCGCTGTGCACCTTCTTACTTCATTGAGTATTCTATGCATTCCATTATTCTATTTATGCATGCTGCAGACAGACACCTGGCTGGGCTTGGGCTTTTTGTTTATGCGATGCCTTGTGGATGGCTGCTTCCAGTCAACGCCTCCATCATAGAGCAAAGAGCCGCCTCAGATTGCCTCAGCGATGGGGATATATTCAATTTGAAAGATTACCAAATCTTAAACAGTTCGCTTGGGCAACTACTCCTCAAGTGATGTCGTCATCGCAGACACTCCACTTGTGCATGTATTAACCCAAATGGATCTTTCCCGTGCCATCTGTGGGGGTCTCTCTGCGAGTCTCTGACAATTGAACAAATTGCAATTGTGGCATTGTTTTTGTGTGCCTACAGTTATAATTGCATAAGTGCGACGATGCAAAACCACACACACACACACAGACAGAGAGAGAGAGAGAGAGAGAGAGACAAGATTGCGATCATCCTACGACAGCAGTGGGAATTCGGAAAATCTCTGTCCTCCAGCCTTATATAAGCCAATTGGGTAGAGATTCTTTTTCTTCCGCCTTAGATATTTCAACCAAAACTGACCTCAGCTTAATTAAGCCGCCAACAGAGCATTAAAAGAAAAGGGTGAGGGATGGAATTGGGCCAACAGAAGTGAAAGAAAAATTAAAACGAAAATCGTATTTGGTTCAGTGAAAATCTTTTTGGATACGCTTAACACTTTCCCGGGCATTGGGCCAAGGTGAGATGTGGAAAGTTTCCGATTTCCACAGAAACTTTCAGATACGAATGCCAGAAGGTACTCGTAATAATGCCACTCACCGGGACTTTTAGTTCTGAAAAAAACTTGAAAGAGCTTCACAACTGTGGGTACAGTCACAGGCTAACACGAAACAAGAGTCCTCTGTCTGGCCTCCCGATTACTCGCTTTTCAATTCATTTCGTATGCAGCGCCAAGTTTCACACAACAATCAAACCAAATGCGAGGGACTTCTATGACCTGTAATGATCTTCTGGCCCTCACTCTACCCTTCACCGGCCCACTCTCCTCCTCCCTCCTACAAGTGGACTTCCGTTTCCCGTTGGCCTGTTGCATAAAAGAACAATTGCGGCCTCTCTCAGCCTTTCAAAAATTGATTCGTACGTGAGCATTTTTGCAAAAATCTTTTCAGCTTTATGTTTTCTTGTCTTTTCTGGCTTTCTCTTCGCCCTCTCTGGTGTGTTAGCTCTCCTCTCCCTTTATTTGTTTATTTTTTGTAATTACGAATTTTACACCTGTCGCACTCACATCCTACACCTCAGCGCTTTTCTTTTGTCTTTTCCTTCAGGAGTAATGAGAGTTCCTCAGCGGAAATCTTTCACTGGAGAGGGCCACAATTTGGACAGGAAAGAAAGTATTTGTCTAATGCAACAGTTTGCTTGAGAGAAATGTATACGTAAGTACTTTATCTAAGAAAAAGTCCACGAGAAAATAAAGTTTCTTACCAGCTTTTAAAATTTAAAAAGGAGCTGATGCACTTAAAATATTACATTGACGCACAAATCAGAAATATTCCCATTCGTACGTCAAACAAAATCCGTTTTTACCATTGAGTTACCTTGAATCATAATTTTCAGCATAGTTTAAATTTAAACTCTATTTTATTGGATAGAATTGAATAAAATATCATAAATTGTACTAAAAACCTTTACTCCGACAAAAATCTTGTCCGAGGCTTTGGCTCTCCCTCCAGCCATTTCCCATAGTGCATTAATAAAAGTGAAAATACAACCTGCCCACAATTGGCCGACCTCTTTGGCACTCGATCAAACAGCTCTTCAAAGGCACCACTGCCCCCGCCGGGTGGGAAATCAAATTGGCAATAATTTGAGAGGCCGGAGGAGTACATTTCAATGACCTTGAGGCGCCAATGTATTCGGCCCAGCAGTGGCCAGGGAGAGCTTAGTGAAATGCCATCTCTTTCCATTTTTTATATAACAATCGGATCGGATTGGATCGTGGCAGACAACAGCAACCCACACAACAATCAAAGTAAAGTTTCACCTGCCAGGTAGCCACGAACTCCAATCTCTGAGATGCCAGCGAAGGTGATGGGGAATGGCGATGCAGGGAGAGCAAACACGTTTTATCTCATAGTGAAAAGTCACAAAGTCACTTTTCCAGGGAACTTTTTTTTCAATGGAAAACATTTTTGGAATTTCGTATCAATGGAAATGATTTCCACATGCGCGAATCTTGGGAAATATCATCGCCGGAGCGAACTTGTCTCCGATCCGTTCAAGTCCAGCTTTTGCGTGCTCATTGGTAATTTCTTTGATGAAATGTCGACAGACATTGACAGTCTCTGAGCAATTTTTCCGCCAAATCATTGCCTCTGTGATTTACTTATATTCCGCTATTCAATCACACTTTTTGAGGGCAAATTGGGCAAGAAAGCAAGTAAAGCGAGTTATTGAAACTAACAAATAGGATCCAAATAGGATTTGGATTTGATTGCCAACATTCATATATTTCGTTTCTTTCTTCTATGAAGAAAGGAGCTCATGCTTACCCTGTAATCGTAGTCATGACGATTCTCCAAGCTTATGTCGCTGTACATGTCTTCGGTTGTATCACAGTTGGAGCTACGGCCCGAGGAGTTAAAGCTCGATGATCTATACAGTTGGCTAAAAAAACAAATACGAATTAATTATGTACTAATAAATACAAAATCGAATTAAAACGTAGACCCAGAGTATTTTCTATTGATTTTCAGTTAGGAACATTAAATAACGTAGACAACATTTTGGTCGTCTGAGTGGTGGCCAAATATTTCATCTAACAATAACAATAACAATAACAGACAATATCCAGCTACTAAATCTAATATAATTCCATTGAAACAATGAAAAGAAAAAATACATTTGCAATCATATTCATATGATTATTTTTTGGTTTTGGTATTTAAATTTATTGTTATTTATTGTTCAAATACAATGCAATTGGAAGCTGAATTCGAACTGGAACTGGCAGAAAGTTCACAGAACAAAATGTTGCGAAATAATAACAAATGTTGCGAAATAATACCAAATGTTGCTCAACATTTGAAAACATAAAAAATGTTGCTAAGCTACTACATGTAATTTTACATTTCGTTTAGTCGAGACCCAAACCAGAAACACAATACGTTTAAAACTGTATTTGTCTGTGGCTCTAAAACTGTAACGCCTTGTATCTGTAGTAGACCTTGTTATTAAACAGCTTTTTACGGAGGTCTATCTGGCTATCTGATCTTGTTCAGATTAGAAAAAAATGTGTAAGTAACTTATCTCATACGAGCATATATTCGAGTAATATTCCAGTTGTAAGACTTACCTGGCTAAGGCATTGGTGCTAATCTGTCTACGGCCAGAACTGCAAAATAATGAGAAGAAAAATTTTAATATTTTGTAGAGAATAAATAAAAATAACATGAATGCCACCAAACCCGATAATAATGGATATAAAATAAAAAAATAGATATATAAATATTTATAATATTTATTTATGCATATTTTAGTATGAGTTGAGAAGATATTTGGTTAGTTCTCGATCCCGCTTTGCCTTCGTACGCATTCAGACGCTGGTCAAACTTTCTATGAATTCATTAATAGATTAATATTATCTTTAAGTAAATAACTTTAATGGACTTAGCCCCCAGCCCATTAAAGCCCCATAGAAAGGAAAGAATTTGGAACCATTTCGAGATGCAAAAAATGCATGACATTGTATGTGTGAAAAAAAGAGGAAAAGTGAAAATAAACTTGCAAAACAACAAAGAAAAACACACAAAACACGTGATAATGAAAGGAAAGAGAAATAGCAGCAGCAACAACAATGGAGTGGCCACCCACGCGATCAGGTAGAAAACAAAATGTGAAGAAAAATACCAACAAAGGCAGTCGAAACGCGACAGCCACTGAAACTGCAGCCAAGAAAATGTGGCAGTAGTGGGGGCAGCGACAATAGGAAAAGTACAAAAATAAATAGTGGTATTCCCGAAAGAGATTTGTTTTCGCTTTAGATTGCTCGATTTTTAATGGTGAAATTTAAAAAAACCGATTAATCTAGAAAATCCGTCTGTCGGGTCAGAATAAAATTATATAATCGTCAAAGAAAAGTACATAAAAGTATAGAGTCGAAAAGAGATGAATACCATGAATATAAGTATTTTCAGCAGCAACAGACAGCAGCAGAAAAACGAGGAAATCAAAGACGATGGAGACAGACGGAGCGAGCAAAGGAACATAGAGACAGAAAGCTTTAGTAAAAGTAAAAATTGGGAGGGTGGGGCGTGGAAAATGCTGTTTGTTGCACAGAGTCACAGTGCACATAGGAAATATAGGTCAAAGGTGGGAGACATTTTGCCATTTCAAGTGGCGAAAGCCAAATGAAGGGGAAAACATACTCGTAGACGGGAAATTGGGCCAGAAAAGAAAAGCGTTGTCAGGGTAAAGCAAACCAGTGTCTCCCAAACCGTACAGTATTCCGTAAACTTGGGCATTCGCGTAATTTATTAGTATTTAGTTTTGTTTTGCGGTTTCCAGCTAAAGATGATCTCATGGCAAATATTTTGCTGCGTTTGTTGAGAAGATAAGCAAAACCGCAAACAGTTTTCGTTATCCATAAAAATGTGCGAAAAACCAAAAATGTTTTCAAACTTTATCAATTCCGCTCTCCTACTATTGTCATTCCACTGTCTGCCTCTCTGTGTTGCCCCAACTGAACTCATTAACCCAGTTTCGAGTGTCCGTGTACTCCTACCAAACAAGTGTACATATGCGCAGTCTCATCTCATCTGGGTTTAATAGCACTGCTATGAACTCTATTTTTAGACCTACATAAACCACAACAGGACCAGCATAAAAGCCATGCAAATTAGCCACATTTTTTTCAGCCAATTTTCGTTTTTTTTTTAATCGACTTTATATAAGTAAGCCACATAAAAACTAAATAACCATGCTCGTAAAAATATACAAACAAGAAATATATGAAAAAATATTAGCAAATTATTGAATAAAGGCCAAAAAGTTGTTTGGGGAAACCTGCTGCTGCTGCTCCTCTTGCAGAAAAATATTGCGCAATTTGTGCCAGCAAACAGACGAAGTGGAAATGCAAAAAGTCATCTGCGGACAGTGGGAGAAAACCAGCACTTTTTAAACACGGAATCTAGAAAGAAAAGTTTTTTGCGGCATCAATTTATTCCAAAATTCGTGCGCCAGCTGCCGCTGTAAAGTTTACTGAATTTTTTCACATGAATCAAAATTTGAAGTCAAATTTGTTTCACCCACTGTGCTGCGGCTTGTCTGGGGGCTGCATTTTATGACTCAATGTGGTGGCATGTTATTGATGCAAAATAAAGTAAACATTAAATTGCAGCCTAAAAGTTGAACAATCGTGGGCAAAAACTTAGCTTAAATATACAGTCGTAATAATTATGTTTTGAAGAAATCTGAAATTCTTCGATTGAATTTTAACGAGCGGGAACCACGACTCTCCTTTTACACCTGAATTATACGTAATCAGTGGAATTTGTATCAGAGTCGATGAATTCAGCATGCTATTTCTCTATCCTTTGCTATCGCTGGTCCCAAAAGGGTCGAATTGATTTGTTGGTTAATGGGAAGGGAAGATTTTGGTAGACAGCGAACTATCTTCATTCTTCTCGAGTTCAATTACGAATATATAACTAATGGGGTCGGAATTAAAGTATTTGTATATGACTAAAAATAAACCATGAAAATAACAGTTTAGATTCGTTTTCCAGTGTTAGCTTTATATAACATAACTCATTAAACTTTTGCACAAAAATATATGAAGAGCTTCAAAATAAACTCCACATAAAACAAAAACAAAACAAGCATCCCAAAGAAAACGAATCAAAAAATGACAGTTAATTATGAACAGCAAAAACGATCGAGGTAATCAGTATAGCAGCCACAAAAAAAAGCTGTTTAAATATGATTAAGGTCGTTGGCAGCACATGGTGGAAGGAGGGAGTGGAACGGAGAAGAGAAGAGTGCAGTGGAGGCTGAATGACTGAATCAGTTCCAACATTTGGGTAACCTTGAATCTCGGCGGCTATGGGCAGAGACAGAATCAGAGGCCGAGGGAGTGTTCTCTTCCCCCCAAACGTCAAAATGAAATTCGAAACGTGGGCCGGAAGTTATGGTCTGCGGCTGGTTTTCTTTATAGCGGAGATTACCTGGTATACATAACTCCAATGTACTCGGAACTCGGTCTAGAGAGATTCTCATTCTCCACACTAACTTTAGGGGGTAATAAAACAGGAAGAGGCAGAAGGTAGGAAAAACTGTCAAAGCAGTCGCCCAAACACCTGTTGAATAACAAAATCGGCCTCTCTTCCACATAGTCCCCCTTCTCTCGCACTCTTCAGCACCACAATTACCGTTCATTTGCTCTCCCTCTGCTACCAGCCGCCCCCTCGCATTGCGTTCCGCTTCGTTCGCCTTTGAGAGAGGGTCAGCTGAAGCGGGTGGGAATGGCAGGGAGTGGCGGGTGCATGGAGTGGAATTTCAATTGTTGTTTAGAATGAATTGTAAAGCAGCAGTACGAGTATTTTTTCGTTTTCCATCTGAAATGCTTATGAAATTCATATAATTAGAGGCGGAAAATATGTAAAAGCAGCAAGGCTGCAGTTCGAGAGGAGCGTTTTTTCTATTCTATTCTTGCTAGTGGGATAGCTGGGAAAAGCTATGGGAGAATCTTCAGCCGATTTATTACAGGGTATTCCGAGTACTGATCTCCAAGATCTCTGATCAAATTTACAAAATCCCCAGCGCCACTTATCCATTTTAACAAGCAACTGTTAATTGACTGGGGGGGAGGAAAGGAAAGACCCTCACTCCTTCACTGAAATCACCTGACAAAGGGTCCCATCTCATAACCAGTTAATGTTTACCCAGAAAGTGCAGTCTGTTTGCCGCACTTTGTACTGAAGTAAAAGTCAAAGAGGCAAAGCCAGAAAACCTTTAATGATCCTCAGGCCCAGGCCCAGTCGGAGGGCCTTCCAAAACAAAAAGTAAGCAACATTAAATAATCGTCTAGAGGTGTCAAGTTTCTTGAACTTTGCTGTTTTAAATTCAAGCCACCAACAGACAATGGATCGAGTCAAGCTTATGTGGCTGTCTGTTTGTTTCTTTATTGTTATTATACCTCTCTCTGCCCCCTTCTGCCTCTTTGTGTTCCCCTCCTCATTTACTCTTTCCATCTTTCTCTCCGAATGTCTACGTCCCAAAATGGCCACGCCAATCCCCAAGAGAGTCAATCAATCACGATCGGATTATGCAAAAAATGAGGCACAAGTAAAGCTGACTAAAATAATTTGGACAAGCACCTGTCGCAGTCAGGTGAGACTGACCCAGATACTATCAGCTCCTCTCTCCATCTGAGTGCCGGAAACTTTTTGGCCTGCCCAAATCAAGTTTTCTATTGCAGAAAATGATTGTTCCCAGCGAAACGAAACGCCTCAATGCACCGTGGCTCACTGTTAGGTTACGGTTTCTGTTTCAGCAGCCACGAAATAGTTGCCAAAGGCGCAGACACACCTCGCTCACTCACTCACTCACCTAGCCCCTCCTCTCCGCTTCCGAAACCCCTCATTAGGTGCCTGGGAAGTTCCACTAATTGAAACTATTAAAAACTGCTTTTTTCAGCACAACATTTTGGGAACTCTAGACAGGTTGTTGTCTCATTACGAGACTCTCTTGTTTCTTGGATTTTGTATATTAGTATACCCTTTCAGAGGGCATTTTTTATTTTAGCCCAAAGCTTGCACCGCACAGAAAGAATCATAAGCGATAGTTTTTTGTGACGTCTAACTTTAAAGAAATTAACTCTGTCGTGAATAAAAGAAAGTACTCGTACACGCTGAAAGAGTATATAGACTTCGGCGAGAAAAACTGTCTCTTTATGTATTTTCTTGAGTTTTTAATAATTTAATTAGGCAAAAATGTCTGAAGTCCTTAATTAAATGTAAACATTGTGGAAAGGGTAAATAAAAACTGAGAGAGAGAGAGAGTTTGTTAAAAATGATCTTGATGTGAGAAAAAACGTAGAAATCTCTGAATCTAAATTCCAATTAAATATAATTCTAAACAATATCTAGGGCTCATACAGTAAATACCATAAATGTAGGAGATTTATTCGATTATCTTTTTAAACAAAATTTACAAATAAATATTATACATTGTTTTTTTTTGGAATACTTTTTTCCCCTGAAAGAAACTTTTACACCTAACGAACATTTAACTACGCTTCAGCTCATTTCTTTTGAAAACGTTAGGAAAAATTCCAAGTTATTAGGGGTCAGAAATGGTCGCGATTGTTGCGATTTCCAAAAGAAACAGTGCCCGAGCCAGACTGAGATTTCATGAAAAGACTTACGTCTTTTTTCGCCGACAAGGGAAAGTAAATGTGGCAGTGAGGGCGTGTAGTTCGTCTACTGCTCTGACTGGGCGTGTCTTGACTGCTGACTGATTTCTTAACAATACTATATTCATAGCCACAAAACGAATACCACTAAGTGCAACAACAACAACTTGGTGAAATGATTTAGTGAGAATTTAATACGCACTTTTTTCTCATATGACTGCGACGACGGTCATAAGGAAAGTACTCAAAATACTCATCATCCATTTATGTGAGATCTCTGTTCGCATGCGATTGCTTAGCACTCCGCGGAACTTTTATCTTTCGGTTAGCTGATTTGGCTATCAGTTTCTGCTGTCATTGTCCGCACTTTGGACGTCATTGAGTCGCTTTTGTTGGCTTTAACCGATAAGGCATGTATGTATATTGGCTTTTGTTTAAGATTTAATTACAGCACTCTGTGGGCCATGTTAGCCACTGATTCCACTGAAAACATCCATTATTTGAGTATTAGACTTTAATACGATTTGATTACAATTATTTTGGACTTATTTAAAGCCTTTGAAGATGTTTTAGGTATTATTTAGATTTGTTTTTATTTATTGAGCATTTTATACGAGGCTGCATTACATTTTCATTCACTTTGAATCATTTGGAATGAATCATCGCAAGCATTGCATCAGTTCTCGATTGGAGGAGCTACACTACATATTAACTTCACTTTTCTTTGGTTAGCTTCTCATCCAACTTCTGATGCACACCGAACGCAGTTGAAACCGACTCGGAATCGAACCCATCATCGACAAATTAGACACACTTTCGCAATGGAAAACGCCTCCTCACTTTGGATTGGATCAGATCGTCGAGGTGCCTGGCCACACTTCACTTTTCATTACGAATCTCCTCAAGCCGAACACCATTTCGCCGTCTTGTGGTTAATATTTTACGAACACGCGTCTCTTGTGGCCTAACATCGCTCTGATAACGTCGTTAAAAGCTCTCCGAAAGCGAAATCACAAGGAAAACTGCAGTCGGCAGTCGGCAGACGGCTTTGCTGACCAACTAACAATGAAAACGTGCAGCAACTGACGGGTAACATTTATATGGCTGCTCCACGGGTAATTAAGGCTATAAAGATGATTCGATTTTGATTGATGGATCGCGACAAGGCGAGAAAAAAGGTCCAAAGCGGCGAGTGTGGGTCTCTCACGGTGTGGAAATGGGTTCGATTTGATTGCACCTTAGACCTGCATTGAAGTAATTGCTTTTGAGCTTCAATTGCAAAGGAAAGCGTTTGTCTTGAGGTCTCAAAGGGTGTTGAAAGAGAAATGATTGTGCAAGTAAAAGAGTAGGAAATTACTCAAGAAAATATACAAATACTCCGAGAAAGTTTAATAATATGATATTGATCTGTTGTCTGAGAATTCCTCATTAAAAATGATTTTAATGTTATAAATTTTTAAAATTAGAACTGAGCTTCGAGTTTGTTTTTTAAATAATTTAGGTACTTTCAACCAAAGTCAGATTTAATTTCATATTTTTCTCAAGTGTGTCCCTATTTCACTCTTCTTCATTTCTAGCGTAAAGATGGATGGGAATGGGAATGGGAAAAGTGCAGCATAAAAGGGCGTGGGCCTCCTGAGAACCGGCCAACAGTCACGTGTAAGGAGCGAGGCAGACATGTCGAAGATAAAAGAGGAGTGGAGAGGAGATGGAAAAGAGGGGGATGGAGAAGAACAAGCAGAGATATTGCCAAGTAGTTTCGCCTGGGAATGTGCATTGTTGTAGCTGTAGTTTTACTTGTAGACGTTATTGTTATTGGGCTTGTTGTTGTGTTTTAGCTTCAGTCATTAAGGCGTGACGCCGGCCGTAAATTACCAAAGTGTAAACTACACCAGCCCAAAACTATGTACAAAATCTCATAAAACCGCGCCGCTCAAATTAAAAACGTTTTCTATTCCATGGAAAGCGAAATTTATGGCCAAAACCAAACACCGAAAAACAAAACAAAAATCACAATTAAGTTTGCGCAAATATTTCGCATTCGCCGCGATGTCTGGTCCCAAAACCCACACTTTCACATACTTTTTGTCTATTTGTTTGTTTCGCGTAGACACCACCGGAACACTGTTCGTCACAGACTCTCTGTGCGGGATTTAATAAATAATTAAATCGTGAAAAAAGCACCGACAGAAAATGTTTGCCCGCACGCGCTGCCAGCCAAGTTCCAACTCGAACTAACCACATTCCCCAACATGGCTCGAAGCGGCAACAACAGGCCAAAGCAAAATAAACATAACAGAAAGAGGCAACGCAACGGCAGCGAACAAGTGTGTGGGGAGAGAGAGAAATAGAGAGAGGAGAGCCAAGGAGGCCAAGAGCGTCAACGATTGCTCTGAGGCAAAAGGGTTGCTCGCGGAGCATTGCCAGACTGCTCAAGGAAGCCTGTTAACTGAAACAACCCGTTAACAGAGGGTAAGGTGCCATAGTTAACCGTCTGGCAGCTCTTTCAAAGTGTTGCCAAGAGAAAATAAAACGAAATAATGAAACCTGCAGCATTAGTTTTTTGCCTAACGAGAAAATCGAGCGACAACAAATTCGAAGACATTTGGTGCTTTTTGACGATTTACTCGCATCATACGATTACAAACAAATATTAATACGGTTTTCTCGCCTTTGGCACCCAACATCACCGTCGAGACACTGCCATTTTAGCGCCAACTTGAAATGCAAGCCAACTGCCGCATGAGTGCCTCAGTGGAGCCCCCGCAAAATGCCACCATTAGGTGGTGGGGCGGACAACTTAAGCCTAATTGAGGGCCCCCGAAAACAAGCCACAGACAACTGTGTAATTATGTCTGGGAAAAACAGAAAGGGGGAAGGAATGCATAAGTGCAGCGAAGGTTGGGCCATGGGAGACAATTGAAAAAACACTTTTGGGAAAGCTTTCAAAGCGTTTAATGGCGTTTCCAAGGTTGCATTGAGGTTCAGAGTAAAAGCTTAAGCTTGAAGCAGAAGGAACTGAATGAAAGAATACAATAAGTCATCCTGAAGGATCATGTGATTACAAATCTTATTGAAATTAAAAGATACTACTGACAAATGTATATTAAACAATAACTTAAAATTTTGTTAAACCTAAAATCTTGTAGTAACTTAAAGTTTCCACTGAACCGTTGGCCTAGGCTTGGGTTTAGCGACAGTTTGAAACTTCGGTGGCTTCCCTGCGAGCAATTTGGTTTTATTTTCGGTCATCTGCTGCGTCAAAGTAGACTTCTTTGATACTTGGGGGGAACTTTTCGATTCGATACAGTCTTCTATCGCCTTATTTGGCAGTCTATATTGCAAAACGTTGGACGGATCTTGATCAAACGAAGGAATCGCACTAGGTCGATTTTCCCCAAGAGCAGCAGGGAATGACTCTTGGAAGACTTGACGGATTTCAGATTCTATTTGATGGCTCAAGACGGGTTCCTTAACCATCGGTCGATTTTCCCCATGAGCAGCAGGGAATGACTCTTGGAAGACTTGACGGATTTCAGATTCTATTTGATGGCTCAAGACGGGTTCCTTAACCATCGGTATTGGAGTTTCCTCTGATACATTGTCTGACTGCTCTTTATAAAAGAAACGCTTTTGCAATTTCCATTCGCGATTTTCCTCTGGTTGATCTTCCCCTTCTGCCGCTAGAGAAGGCCCTGGGAAGGTTGCCTCCTGTTTCCGCCTTCGCTTCAGCACCAGGAACATGAAGCTGACCAACGCGCCCAAAATAAGGTAGGGGTAGCACCCCAGCACAGAGTTGTAGATCTCCAAGCCCTTCAGCAGGAACCAGCACGCCGATTGCCATTCATTACAGAATGGCTTAATCTTCAGCCGCGTCTGGAGGTCCAAGTCCTGGCGATATTCCCACATTTTTGCACGAAAATTTGGAGGCTATTCAGCTATTTAAGAAGTATTAGAAAGTGGAACTGTTTACTTCTACGAGAAGTCAAATAAAATTTGTGATACTGATTTGATTTGAAATAAAATGGAAGTGATACTTTGTTGGACTATCATCCTTGATCCTGCTTAATGAAAATTGGAATTGAAACCAGATCCAGTTGAGCAGCATGCTACGTTAAGCTATCATAAGAAAAAACAAACATTTAATCGAGTGCTCTCTGAAAGGGGAATTCAACTTTATTCACTTTCTTCTTCACTCTTGAGCAAGTCTATTGCCATTTTTAGTCGATTTCCTGGTGACTTCACACATTTGTAAGCGAAAATTTAGCAGAGTCAAAAGCAGAACATAAAGCCACATCAGAAGGTTAATCATGGCATGGATACTTATGGTATACTAGACTAAGAAATTTCTCATTAAATAAACATCTATTAGTGTTTCAGGTGCATGTGAGAATGATTTCCAGTGAGATCTTTCTTTCTAGATATTTTCGTTTTCTTTTTTCGTCGTTTCTTAAAGTGCATTTTTTCCTATCGCACAAAATTCCCAGCAGATGAGCAAAGACAAAGGCATTTGCATGACAGCTTCAAGAGGGAGGGAGCTCGCTCTGGTCTGGGAACAACAGGGTCTGTCTGGAAAGTTGACAGGCCAGCAACAATTAAGGGCCTGAGAAAGGGTTAACTGATCTGCACACGCCTTGAACGGAGGGAAATCTAATTACTCGTACTTCCCGCAGATATGTACTCCACACCGTCACAGACCGTCCCAATTGGATTCAAGATGAAAGCCTGGCAGTGGACAAACCCTGTTTGGCACAATTCTAGCATCCATTTTTGCGTAAATTTTATTTTGGGTCAATTTTATTTGCGACTTGACAAAAGTTTCGGACTAAATTCTGAAGAGTAAACAATTGCCTTGCCTCAAGACAAACCTGTCTTCAGTGCCTCAATCTGCTCACTTCCTCAGAGCCAGAGTCAGAGCTCTCTGGTCAAATTCCAATGGCATGACTGCCCCAGAGAGACAGCGAAACTTGTAAGCCAAGTCAAGCCGAACCAAGGGGAAAAGGAGATTGGTTAGAGCCAGACCCGCATCATATGAGTATGTATGGGTATTCGTGTACTTCGGTTGCTTCCCTGCGAGCAATTTAGTTTTATTTTCGGTCATCTGCTGCGTCAAATTAGACTTCTTTGATACTTGGGGGGAACTTATCGATTTGATACAGTCTTCTATCACCTTATTTGGCAGTCTATATTGCAAAACGTTGGACGGATCTTGATCAAACGAAGGAATCGCACTAGGTCGATTTTCCCCAAGAGCAGCAGGGAATGACTCTTGGAAAACTTGACGGATTTCAGATTCCTCTGATACATTGTCTGACTGATCTTCATATAAGAAATGCTTTTGCAATTTCCATTCGCGATTTTCCTCTGGTTGATCTTCCCCTTCTGCCGCTAGAGAAGGCCCTGGGAAGGTTGCCTCCTGTTTCCGCCTTCGCTTCAGCACCAGGAACATGAAGCTGACCAACGCGCCCAAAATAAGGTAGGGGTAGCACCCCAGCACAGAGTTGTAGATCTCCAAGCCCTTCAGCAGGAACCAGCACGCCGATTGCCATTCATTACAGAATGGCTTAATCTTCAGCCGCGTCTGGAGGTCCAAGTCCTGGCGATATTCCCACATTTTTGCACGAAAATTTGGAGGCTATTTAGCTATTCAGCTATTTAAGAAGTATTAGAAAGTGGAACTGTTTACTTCTACGAGAAGTCGAACAAAATTTGTGATACAGTCTGATTTGATTTGAAATAAAATGAAAGTAATACTTTGTTGGACTATCATTCTTGATCCTGTTAAATGAAAATTTGGATTGAAACCAGATCCAGTTGAGCAGCATGCTACGTTAAGCCAAGAATGTATTATCATAAGAAAAAACAAACATTTAATCGAGTGCTCTCTGAAAGGGGAATTCAACTTTATTCACTTTCTTCTTCACTCTTGAGCAAGTCTATTGCCATTTTTAGTCGATTTCCTGGTGACTTCACACATTTGTAAGCGAAAATTTAGCAGAGTCAAAAGCAGAATATAAAGCCACATCAGAAGGTTAATCATGGCATGGATACTTATGGTATACTAGACTAAGAAATTTCTCATTAAATAAACATCTATTAGTGTTTCAGGTGCATGTGAGAATGATTTCCAGTGAGATCTTTCTTTCTAGATAGTTTTCTTTTTTCGTCGTTTCTTAAAGTGCATTTTTTCCTATCGCACTCCATGGCCATATATTTTGTTGAATGCCAAGTGCAGACCGAAAGGCACAAAATTCCCAGCAGATGAGCAAAGGCAAAGGCATTTGCATGACAGCTTCAAGAGGGAGGGAGCTCGCTCTGGTCTGGGAACAACAGGGTCTGTCTGAAGAGTTGACAGACCAGCAACAATTTAGGGCCTGGGAAAGGGTTAACTGATCTGCACACGCCTTGAACGGAGGGGAATCTAATTACTCGTATACCGATAGAAAAAAGCCCTGAAATTTTAATATTTTCACTTAGATTTTAATATTTATGCCATTGATTTTCATCCAAGAGTGGTTCTATTAAAATTGAATATTTTTCACTTAAATTTTGATATTAATATGAAAATATTTAAATTCAATATATTTTATATTTAAGTTGAATATATTTCATATTTAAATTTAATATATTTCATATTTAAAAATAATATGTTTCATATTTAACTTTAATATGTTTAATATTTAAATCTAATATGTTTCATATTTAATTTAAAAATATTTTATGCTTAAATTTATTATGTTTCATATCTATATTGAGTATATTTCCTTTTTAAACTAATCTGTTATTATTTTGGCTACGCGGACTACATTTCAAGTCCTCATGGTATGAAATTAACACTGTGAATTGGTTAAAGATTTCAACTAGAAATAATCGCAGCATGAGTAGAACTACATTGGTTGTGATTATGGCCCTGCGCAAAGATAATTTAAACTGTGTATTCAAGGCTGCAGCAGCGTGAACCAGTTGGGAATTCGAGGGACATCAAAAAAATAATATAAACATAGCTAAAATAAATACATATTTATTACATATTTCATGTAATATGGAATATTTTGAAATAAAAAGTTTTCCTTTTGATTTTAAAACAAAAATTTTGAAATCAAGTCATAATAATATTCAATTTAAATATGAAACATATTAAACTACAAATTTAATATATTATATTTATTTTGAAGTGTTTTTTATAAAGATTAAATATGACCGTATTAAAAAAGATATTTTAATACAATTATATTTGAATCAAAGTGAATTCTATTTAATTTTACTATGTTTGTATTTGAAAATCGCATTTTAGTTCAAATATGATTGTAGTTATTTTTACTATGCCTTTTTTCTATCAGTGTACTTTCCGCAGATATGTACTCCACACAGTCACAGACCGTCCCAGTTGGTTTCAATATGAAAGCCTGTCAGTGGACAAACCCTGTTTGGCACAATTCTAGCATTCATCTTTGCGTTAATTTTATTTTGGGTCAATTTTATTCGCGACTTGACAAAAGTGTCGGCCTAAATTCTGAAGAGTAAACAATTGCCTTGCCTCAAGTCAAACCTGTTTTCAGTGCCTCAATCTGCTCACTTCCTCAGAGCCAGAGTCAGAGCTCTCTGGTCAAATTCCAATGGCATGACTACCCCAGAGAGACAGCGAAACTTGTAAGCCAAGTCAAGCCGAACCAAGGGGAAAAGGAGATTGGTTAGAGCCAGACCCGCATCATATGAGTATGTATGGGTATTCTTGTACCTTCAACCTTTCCGCAAACGAGAGAAGAGCGCTCACAAAAGCAGCCAAACTACTTTGGGAGGGGAGAGAGTGGAGAGGGCAAACAGGAAACAAGGTCTTCATGTGAACTGAACTCAAAGCAGAACTATCAAGGAAGTTGTATAAACAACTACAAGATCTCATCTCAAAGTTCTCATTTATTTCCCTTCGTTCCAGTTAATCTGATATATTTATTATGGTCTCAGTCGCAATTAAAGCAAAGAGAAATGTGCCAATTTTTTCTGTAACTTTTATGATGGGCCCCGCAATAAACATAAATTTTGTTTTTGCTATTTTGTATTTTGGGGGTTGGCAGAAAGAAAGCTCTTGAAAGTGAGACTATATTATACAATCCAATCTTTCGGTTGCCTAACAATTGAAGTGGACGCAAAATATGGGAAAATCTGATAACACTTGTAGATACATAGGATGAAGAAAATCCAGCAATAAGTGAACAAAACGAATTTAAAATGGGAAAAACAATTTTCGATAAACTCATCTCAAAAAGATAAATACAAAAGGATTGATAACAATTTAGATAAATATAAAATTGTTGAATGTTTTTAGTGCTGAAAATATTAAAATAGTTTGTACAAATTTCCTTTAATTCCCATAGATTTAAACTAGTTTATATGTACATTGTACATATGTATGTACATATATGTAGTATGCATTCAAAGGATTAAGCCAAAACCAAAATGGGCCAAAAATGAGAGTTAGATGGTTTGTTTTTGTGTGAGGAGATTCTACATGAAACCTAAAGGAATAATGATTTTTGGCTTACTGTCTCATGGAGCCCCAACGACGCTGGGATAAACTTTCGGGATTGCTGTAAGAAAAATATTCATCAACTTTCGGTATAAATCTAGGCAAATGTTACAGCTGCAATATAACATATAGCTAAAGTTAATTTATATTATAAAAAGTAGATCGTATCCAAGAAAATCGAGACAAGGGACCTTTTGAAATTTAACTATTCGTCAGACGATAGATAAAATATCCGTCTAATCTACTATTTATCAAAATCCATCGGTTTATTAATGGTTCAATTCGATGAAACGTCTTGCATCTAAAATTATTTCCTAATCGCTGATTTTTGTCAATTATCATGATGAATCATACTTTAGATACATTAATAACACTACTCGACAAAATCGAACTTTTTTTTCCCTCAAGGATCCAAACCGACTTTTTCTGATAGATATGGGGCTTTACAATTTTTTAAAGAATTATGGTTTTTTTTCTATGGCAGAACTTTTCTTTTATAAATTTTTGAAGTCTGGTATTTTTATAATTTTTTTTCGACTTTTCCTGAGTTTTTAAAGTCAAAATTTCGTAAAATATACCGCACAAAAATCATCTTTTTTGCATTTCAATGCTTTATATTTCCCAGACGGTAAGCTGAAATCACAAAGTGTTTGGGCTTAACTTCTAGCTGTTTTAATTATCTTTTCAAAATAGCAAAGTTCTTTACAACCAGACGTAAGATACTAGAGTTATGTGAAAAAAACAAGCGCTACCTCTGAAAAAAGCTTTAAAAAAATACCAGTTTTCAAAAACACTTTAAAAAAAAATTCTGCCATAGAAAAAAAAAAATATTATCAAACTATTTCTAAGCCCCAAATCTTCAAGAAAAAGTTCGTTTTGTTCCTTGAGGAAAAGTCGTGTTGACTAGTGTAATCTAAAATCATTGAACGATATTGCGAGTAGTTTAAGAATTCCTAATATTTCATTATTATTTGGGGAAACATCCATCTCCACATTAAGTTATTTCTTGAAGTAATAATCCTTTAGCTAAATATAATATTTTACACTTAAGATTTTAAAATCCATTCTCAAATCATGGCCACAGTACAACATGCAATGCACCCTTCCTATTTCCCACATACCTTGCAGCTCGACTTCGTTAACAGCGTTAACAGACTTTGGTTGATGTAAATAACGGAATTGAATGAACAAAACTCTGTTAAATTGATTTCCTTATGAATGCTAACATAAAAATTAATACCAAAAATTGGATACTTAAAACTATAAATTTGGTTATATTATTAATATTTTATGTTCGTTGCCGAAACATAACAGTTTAAACTTTAAAGAAATGTCTGAAATGGAGTCGAACATGCGCATGCATGTGCACAAAGATCATGCTCCACGAGCACCGACTGTGATTGGATTTCCGACTCGAAGCCAGAGACACGCATGAATCACGGCTTATAGCGGCCATATCATACATATGCCCAAGACGAGCATAGAAAAAACTGGTTTTGTGTATGCATTTTAATGCCTCAAACTCGTACACAGACACATTCGACATTCGAGCACATACAGAAAAGGTTAACTATTCAAATTGTGTTGCTTTTTGTTTTTGCTACGGACAAATTGAGAGTTTTGAATTGATGAAGTCTCTGGACTGGACTGCTGACTCGTTATGGACATTACGTAGTATTCCGTAGCCTGATTATGTGTGCAACCTTATAAATTTCCTACAACTGTAGACTCGATTTCCATTTTTGGAGTGAACCGAGTGACTGATGGAGTGTGGGGGTGTGGGGTTTACCTTGTCGGTGTTCGTCTCAGACTGCGTCTGGCCCAATTGTCTCGGGGCATTATGTTCAGTTCGTCATCGCTGTAAACGATATAATAATTAGTTCAGAATTCCAAAGGATATATGTACATAAATACAGTACGACTATATATACAGATACAGCGCCTTTCAGGATGATAATTGTATGATGTGCGATCGAATATTAAAGACTTCTAAGTGTATCTGACATCTCCCATAAGGCACTGCATATACATATAAACTCATTCGACTCACTCTTGGGGCGTGGACGAGCCCACATGTGGGGCCAGCTCGAGTTCGATGCCAACGCTAGCGTTTAGATTGTTGTTCCCATCATTCGAGTGTCCACTGTGATTGTGCTGCGAATTGGAGCTTCCCACGCTGAGGTTGTTGTTGCCGTTGTTGCCGATGATGTTGTTATTATTGTTGTTGCTGATGCTGTTGTTGTTGGGATTGGAGGCGTTCCGCCCTTCCCTCAGCTGGGCGGGATACTCGTTCTCGCCATAGCCCTCGAAGGACTCGCCATCGGATAAAGACGAGCACTGAGATTTGGCAACGCCCGCTAAGGTCACACAAAAAGTGTATTAAGATTATAAGATCGAAGGTCAGGCCGGGGTTCGGCCTGGTGTAAGTGAGTACTGTACCTGTGCTGGAGGGCGGACTGCTGGGTGTGGGGCTGCTGTCGCCGGACATGGTTTCCGCATAGAGAAAACTGTTTGTGTTTGCTTTGATGGCCGCATTGCTGCTGGGCAACTGAATGCGCGGCATGGGCACCATCTTAAGTGCGGAAGAACTGAAAAACAAAGAACAACAATTGAACATTTATAAGGCTGATGGTTCCAGAGGAATCTGTATGCCATGCATGCCTGACATGCAGGTCAATAGGTCTCAAACCGGTTATCCAATGCATTCGAAATGGGCCCCAGGTGCCTACTCAGTGCTTGTAAAACTGTGCTTACTGCAGCTCCACGAATACCTAAATGTAACTAGCCCTAATCAAATTATCGATTCGACCAATTCTAACGAAACTCTATGCAGAGGGCTGAACGTGCAACAGGTGCCCTTTCTACTTCCGCCTTCAATCAAACTTCGACCAAGGGAAAATGGTTTTTTATCAACATTATCTATCGGAAAGCAAATTGGGTCGAGGTCTGTTGTGGACACTTCCGTTCCTGAACAGCAATTACCTCTTACTTCAGGGCATGACTGGCTGGGCCTGACAACACTTTGTGGATGGAGAGGTTCCCGATCTAAGCGTGAGTAATTACCTATATTTCTTCTTTAATTGTTGCAGCTCTTCCTTCACATCATTTTCGGTTTTCTCTTTCGTGTTTCACGCTTTCGTTTCTTTCTTGAATTGTCACAGAATTGGTGATTTGGTGGGTTGGATGGATGGGTGCAAAGGGGTGGGGGGGAGAGTATATAAAATCTATAAATATTGTTGATACAATTGGTCGAGTGTAGTGTTGTTGGTTGCTTGACTGATATGTCAGGGCCGTTAGTTGTAAAAGAGTAAGTGGGTCAACGTTCTCTGGAGGGATTGAGAAAATGTGTAACACTTATAGGAATACTGAGACATGTGTACTCGTATGAATGAATGTATATAATTGGAATTAGGATAAACAGTTTACCCATACAACAAGATCGGAAATTAGAGGCAAATACTGAAGGCAAGAGTGGAGCATCTTCCATAACTATCCCCACATATGCACATATGTATATACCTCTTATGTCTCTGTCTTGTTGATTGAATTAGCCATCAGTATGTCATCTCTGGTTTCACTTCAAGTACTCCAAATAACATGCATTGACATTGCATTGGAGGAGCCTCGTTATCCGCAGAGCCACCAATTTCGTAATAGACTAACCATAAACTTGTGATTAAATATCGATTGTCTGCCTAATTCGATGCAAAGCGTTTCCAGCTGGAATAATATGCCATAATGAGCAGAAATATAGCATGTGATTACAACCAAAGCGGGGTGGGGTTCAAAAGAAAGCAAAAGAAAATAATGATACTCGGGTACATGGACAAAATCACAGCAAATCAGCGAAGAGGTGAAGAGCGGATGAGTGAGTCCCCAGCAGGGGAGCAACGAACTCTGGGCGAACCCAACAACCAACAAAACACCAACAAATTGCACTGAAAAAATCGATGAAAGTTACTCAAAAACAAAACAAAGAAAAAAGTTATAGTACAACCCCCAAACTTTTCCCACTTATGCAATGATATTTTTGTTGGTTTTCATGTTTTGCATAAGAGAGTTGGGTGGGAGAGGGAGGCAGGGCGTGTGTGAGAGCTGCCAAACTCCGCTGTTCACATCGCTGACAGCTATGACACTTGATTAAGTTGCCAAAGACTGATTGCTACAGGTTTTTATTTTATTTCTCGTGCCATATTTTTTCTTTTAACATGGCAGCTAATGCAATCTGTGTCAGCAGCAGCATCTGCAGCTGCTTGGGACACCAAGAAATAATCGTAAAAAATATCTTCGGCGGATCGAAGATTTAGATACCCTTAATTGAGATGAATTTTGCTGCAATATTGGTGGATTGATCCTTGATATCCGGGGATAATTTTGATTCCTTTCTTTTATTTAATTTCATAAATTTATGCTTTTTTTGATGGATATTGTAAGTATGGGCAGAACTATAATACCCTCTAGTAGGGTATACACATGTATATCCACAACTAAACATGGATTAATGCCAACAAGAAGTGCAGTTAGAGCAGCATCCCAAGGCGAAGAAGCAGCAACAACAAAAATCCAAGCCAATCCGCTTTGTGTTCCATTACTGCAAAACTTCGCTCACACTCATCTCCATCTCTCTCTCTCACTTCATTCCATAGATTCGGTCCATGATTATAAGATGTACATACACACATACATATATATATTATATATATATACACACGCCGTATATTTTATTTCCCATGAATAGTTTTCCTTTGTTTGCAGCTTCTCCTTCTCGCAATTATCGTTACCTGATACGCGAGCGCAAACAGTAAAATATGAAATCTGTACAAATAAATGAATAAAGAATTGTGGGAAAAAAACAAGAAATATATAGCTCTGAATGGGGAGGTGGATACAAATGAATGTACATATTTATAGTTCATCTATTCTATGATTTTCTGCACTGCAGTTCATAAGCCGAATCATTCATTAGCCATATGCTAGAGATCCGCCTCCAACTCCAACGAGTGGGGATCTACATTCATTCGAGTACAACTGAATATGGAACTGTTTAATTATAGAAAAAATGGTTCCGAGGCGGAGAGTGGGTTGAGTGGGGGCACGGGAAAGGGAACAGGCACGGCACAGACGCCGCGGCGTGCAACAGAGTTGTATTTGTATTTTTATTAGATGTTATCCGAGACTTGACCAGCTGCCATACCCCTACCCCCATACGCCCCCTGGCTTGTGTGACTAATAAACTTGAACTTGTGTGCGAGAAAACAATTGAAAAATTGATCCGATGAGAGCCTCACACAGCTGAGGAATACAATGAGTGCGGGGGATAGATGGCAGGAAAGATGGAAGGGTGGATGGGTAGAAGGGAGGCGTAATTCTTAGCCCATTCAATTTCTTTTGTCAGTTGTTTTGTCACACATGTAATCCATCCATCCATCTATCTATATATCTATATAATTATGCAGATGTTGTGATGTGGTAATAATGCTTGGGGATTGGGGAGCCGCACGTACCACCGAAAGACACGAACATGCTGAGTACATTACCGAGGGCCATATGGCAGTGGATAGGAGAACGTCTCCCGATCGAATTCGATCCATAACGAAAGTGGATTGTACACTTCAACAGAACAGTTGAACAGTTCCGAAATTCCAATGAAAACCCTTAATTAAAAAGAGAGACAGACAGAGATTTCGAAAGATCCTTTTCTCAAGTGGCAAACAGATGCGCCAGCCAGCATCTCGAGGGTTTTCCCTCGGACTACCTGCTTGAGAGATCGCATCGATAAGTAAACTACTACATAAATGCACAGCTGTTTCACTCGCTTCCCATTTTCCATTTCCCATTAGTTTTGGTTGAGTCAAGTGAGGAAAATCGTATCCAACGTCAAGCCAAATCTGGCAGCGTGCAAATTCCGTGCTGGAAAACGTGTTTAACGCTGAGAAATGATCATTTCGTTGAACTGAAGTGCATTTCAAACGTGGAACGTGCTTTTCAGTAAATATTCATATAGTCAGAATAGTGATTGATTATACAAGACACTAAAACTTGTTCTTTACTACTGGGATCTACTCTTCAAACCTGCTTCGAGGCAAGCAATGTAAAACGCACACTTTACTTGATTTGGAATACCCGTTAAACTCCTTTCAACTCCAGTCTCCAGGCCTCATTCAACCTCTAATAAGAAGGAGCTGTGCATCCAATATTACAGTCAATGAGTTATGACAGACTGCCCCTTGGATCCCCATGGTAAACGCCCTCTAAAAGCAAACAAAACGCCCACGAAAAACGACAAACAATCAGAGACAATCGGGAAAAACACCCAATAGATTGTGGCAATATTGATGACTTATACAAAATACAGACTGACAAAAAAACAACGAAAGAAAAGAGAAAATTCTGTTACTACACTTGAATCGGAAAAATTGGGTCAAACGAGGGAGTGAAATGAAGGGGAACGTGGGGAAAATTAACAAACGAAATGTGATAGAAAATACAGAAATGAAATAAAAAGAGAAGGAAGGCACTTAATCAGAGGGTCCAATGTGCTTCAGCGGACAGTGTGAAGCTTATAGGGCTGAAACGCACTGTACTGTAGGACACACACTCGCCTGCGAATACTTTAAAATCAATTAGTTACTCGAGACTAAAATACAAATCTCATTTACGCCTCGGTTGACATATTTTTGTTTTATAATTTTATTTTTATGCCCGGAACTGTCTGCACATCCCAAGGGTGAAGAACTCCCTCCGCCTTCGCTTTCCTTCACACTCTATTTCTGATCTGGTGAATGTTTCGCTGGCAGTTCCCGCTAATTTGTGCTCTTCCCTGCGGGCTTAACATTCTCCAGGGCGGACAGCGAGCTGTGATCCGAAAGAGAAAATTCCATGTCAGGTTTTTGGTGAATGCCTGAATGAATAATGAGGCGGGCGTGCTGTAGCTCCTCGAGGAGATGGTACGAGTGTGGGGAATGCAGGGAGGAATACCAATTGGTACAATACTAGACAGACAGACCTGTCTGGGGAACTGATCTGAGAGGCAGGTCAAGGAGGTAATGCACGAGGACCTGCCAAGACATAATGTGTTGGGTAAGAGGAAGTGATTTGAATTAAAGATTCTCTTCTAGACAGGTATATTTAGTAGCTCTTCTTTTGTAAGATCATCATGGGATCATTGATGAGTTTACAGTTTCAAAAGCACTGAAGAATATGGTACCCAGCATCAGCTGTAACACCACTCTCCTGTTGAACAACCTTAAATGAAATGTAAAATAAAACATAAACACGGAAGTCTCCCTCTGACAGGTAAACGAGGTTCATGTGTATGCAAATACATATGCACGTGAGGTATATAATCGTAGTACGAGTCGAGTACTCTCATACGTACATATGTATCTAGATTCCAGAATACCTAGCGATGCACTGACAGCAACAAAAGATGGAAACCCATGCATACCCATGCAACTCATGGCAGACAGAAACATACACAAACGAACAGACTTTGTCCCAGACGGCGGGCGACTGTCATAAAAACGCGACGACACCTGTTTAAAGTTGTGGCAGTCCCTCCTACCTCTAGCTCTCCCTCTCCCACATGCACGTAGCCCTCCCCCTCCTCATCACTTTTATGAGTTCTTTTCGTGCTGCATTTACCGCAATTATTTACTTATGCCATCGCTCGGATGCGGGCTCTTCAAAAAGGTAGAGCCAAACCAAACAAAACACGGAATTAGATGAATTCCCCAAGAGCATTTCCTCACTAATTACACGAGAGCGAACCATGCACACACACACATACCCTGTAATCCAAGGGCACAAGAGTATATCGAAGTCGATCCGCCTGGATCTGAAAAAATTACCAAAATGAAGATGTTTTAAGTCCACCAAATATACAAAACCATGCAATTCTGTCATAAAATCGTAAATTATTTCTACCAGAACAATGATAGAAATTTGAGATCTATGGGAGTTCTACCTTTTTTGATAGGGTATTCTCTAGTCGGCATTTGAGTGCTGCCTCTCGGTGCATTGAACTGCCTGCAGGTGGAGCAAGAGGGGAACCTATGCTGCCGCTGACCCACATTGATTGAATTGCATTTGAATTCATTTTCATTTCCATGTCAATCTCTCAGCCAGTCAGTCAGTCAGTCGATCAACGAGCTTTCAGGTTGTCCAAACCAATTACAGTGTCAATTGGAGAGAAGACGTTCGTCATCTTGCTCTGCTCTTCAATCAGCTTCAACCGTCGCTCTTTCTACCGCTGCATCGCTCTTTTTCTCTCCTCTACCCCCACCCACCCGTTGGCGTAGCTTTTGGGAGCTTCTTCTTCTTCTAAATAAATCTGCTGACACGATTCCCATTCCTTGGCTCTGGCATTTCTGGCTTTCCATCTGTTTCCTTCTTTCTTCGTTCATTCTCTTTTGCATTGGCACGAGTTCGTTCTCGCCGTGTATAAACAAAAGCACAACAAGTACAAAATACATTCAAAAAAATAAAATAAAATAAAATTAAAGCCATACAAAATCTTTTTTCGACTTGTTTACCTTGAATCGCATTGAATTGAAGTTCAAATAATTAATTACAATTTTAGCTGGTTTTTTGTTGCTTTTACTTTTTTATTGAATGCGCTTTTGTAAAAGGCTTTTAATATTATTTCTGAAAAGTAAATTGCTTTTTTTAGTACACGTTTCGAAAGGGGATTTCTGGCAGCGAACATTTACTACTGTAAATCAATACGAGTAAAATGCTGTCATGCGTCCGAGTTTTTACAGTGAAACCTGCAATGGTGGACAGCTCTTTGCCTGAAAATACGCAGTAGTATTAAGACTAGATACCCTGCCCAGTCCAACAACCCGCATGAGGAAGTCTCAGTCGCACCCACTGCGTCTACACACGGCATGTATTTGTTGCCGGTTTCCAAAGAATAACTCTCGGAGCAATATGAGCATAGGCTACTACCTACCGCAGATGTTGCGAACTATCAGTTGCTGATTCCAATCGATTTGAGCCACATTTAAGGACCCATGTATCTTTAAGACAGTCAAATTGGACGTTGGGAAACTTGATCCTTGGGTGTCCCGCTAAGAGTTGAAAGATCTCGCAGTCTTTCTTGTCCAAAAGCAATTAGGCAAGAAAAAACAAACAAAAAAATATGAAGAAAAAACATGAGCAAAGCCGCATAACTGTGCCAAGGCGACCCATTCCAAGCAACGAAAAAGCGAGGCAACATTTATTTTCAGAGCCGCTTTGCTGTTTTTGGCCAGAATATGCAAAGTGCAAATGTGAGACGAGAACCGTTAGAGCGTGAGGGAGATAGCCGCACACTGCACACACATCGCTGTAATTTTAGAGGGCAGGGCGCTCTAAACAATGTTAAACAGAGGCCAAAATGGATTCTATGGGGGAAATGGAAATGGACACGAAATATATCAAATTACATGGGGAAGCACCATGTGCAGCATGATGCAATGCAGGGGGCTGGCTGGGGGTATGGGTAAGAGGAAGCAGCTGCTACTAGAGATTTCCATCTACTCGAAAGTGGGTTTCCGATTACAGGCGGAAAAGGATGAGAGGATGATGCTTCGTTGAGTGGAAGATGGTGCACTTGTGCCCAGGATCTTGTCCTGAGGCAGGTGGTCCCCAAAGGAAATCCGGAAACACTTGTTCCGCTCCCTTTCCAGACTCAAAACTTCCTCAACTTCAAGCCACAAACTAAAAGAGGGATGAGGTGTGCGGGGAAAGAGATAGAGACAAAGGCAAAACCCCAGAGCACAAAAAGTCAACGACGGCACCAACTGGCACGAACCTGGCTCAAACCAACAACAATAAGAAAAGTGCAACAACAACTAGTAAAACAAATAAAGAGAGAGGAAAACAGAAAACAATTGCGAATTTTCGCATTCGGGAAAATGTTACAACTGTCCCACCACACACATAAAACGCGAACAGGGCCCGAGTCATTTATATAATTGCCCAAAAAAAAAAAAAAACAATGTTCAAATGATGGCACGGAGACGGCACTCTCTTTGAGAATCAATAAACATTAACGTTGCGTGCTCCCAATGTGCCAAGGTGGCGAAGAGGGAGATTAAGATGGTATTTGGATAGTTAAAGAATCAATAATTACTTCGGAGAGGGAGGCATGCTTATAGAAATTGATATACCCCTAGACTTCTCATTCTCCCTCTAAGAGATGTATCTTTTCCACCTACATATGCATAATTCTTACATTCCTCTGTCATTCTCACTGATTGTTTTTGATAATTGTCATGCCTTGACAGCGTTATTAAAGTTTTCAATGGTATTCGAATTTCGAAAACGCTGAGAAGATTAGGGACACCTAAAGCTAACGCACCTGTTTAAATATGTAGGTATCCAATTGGAGCAGCAGTGACTGTGGCTGTGGCAGCAGCAGACCCGTTAATATGACATTAATTTGCTTCACAACAAAACAAAACCAATTTTTGCACAAACGTTGGCACACACATATACACACATAAACACACACACGCGAGAACCGAAGAGCAGCAGCGAGCAACAGATGGATTTTGGGTGGAGGGGATTGTTGGATTTTCGATACGGCTGCTACAGGTAGAACAGGTCGTCGCAATTGTTGTTGTTGTTGTTTTCGTTGTTGTTGGTGTTGCACAAACAATACGAAATTGGTTTAAAAACGTTAACTACGGCTCTTTTCTTGCACTTTCACTCGGGGTGGAGGCATTTCTTCACTCTTCGCTTCGCATAGGTGTGTTTTTCGGTCCTGCAAAGGTATTGTACGCGTGCGTAACGTTGGCAACCACCGTTGACTGTTGGTCGTGATTTTTCCGCTAGTCTGGCTCGCTCCGAACGACAAAATTTGTTTGTCGAAAATCCCGACTTTTTTCGTCAGGGCTTAATGCAGTTTTCAATTAGTTTTCTTCGACGCGTGCACCTCGGTTAGAGGCGATTGACGATATTTTTTTGTGGCGGCAAATATAGATATTTTTTTGGGATATCAACGGAATTTTCTGAATTCAGAAAAAAATTCGACAATTACTTGTTGTTGCATGGTTCGCGGCGAACATTTTTGTGAGACTAGAGGTGTCAAACCAGGGGCACTATCGATAGTATCGATATTTTACTGCTAGCTAGAATCTGCACAAACGGTATTGGAATTCAAATCCAATGCTCACTTTTTGACGAATAAATGAGACCGCACAATGGGTAGGTTGAACTTTTGATTGCGCCGCAAGGATAAGGGTATGAGGTGTGAAGTATGACGTCACAAAATTCAGTGCTTTCAAGAAAAATACCCACCTCACCACATAACTCACCGTGCGGGATTTTGTGCTTTCGCGCACACATGGTATATTTAGTCCGTCGGGGCTAGGGTGAGGTCCTTACGAGGCCCTAAAAAAAAGAGAGCACTCAAAACGCTCTCCGGACTCATTTCTACGTTTAATTGTGAGCCACTATCGATAGTATCGATATTTTGATACGTTTTTGTGGCGCTGCCAGACTCGTGCAATTCGTAGTTGCTGCGAGCTGCCATACCATGATATTTTGTGATATGAAATTCGTCAATTTTGATATTCAGTTTAATATTATTAGATAGTTGACCCTCTCAGCCATAAACAAATAATTTTATGCAATTCATCAATAAATTTTGTTCAGGATTGGCTAGTTTCCAGAACTCTTTTTCATTGGATTGTTTACGTAATAAGGTTCAAACAAAAACGGCCAAAGCATAAAACGTAAATGTTGACTAAATGTGACGTCAATGTTGCTGGTCAACCAAGTTTCTTCTATGCGTATGTACTTTTGTATACCTTATTTCTTTTAATTGATGTTAAATGTTTTGTTCCAAGCTCCATTGAAACATTATTTATGATTTTTTCCTAGATTGACATGTTTTTTACCTATAAATGCACATGTTTGTGTTTTATATATCCTGGTTGTGATACCTATTATTGGAACCCGTGAGCTACCAAATTTCGTTAATATCTTTAAAACAGAGACTGAGTAGTTTCTGCATTAATTGGAGCCTGATATTACAAACAATATCTAAGTCCATAATATCCATTTTCCCAAGGTATGCAGATTGTTGCTCATTCCGTGCCAAAGTTGCACAACAATGCTGCCAATACACTTCCAGATGTTGCTGAAATTTTTCCCATACAAATCAAATGTATCTTACGGGAACGCGTATGGAATGACGCAACAATGAATCTTCATTCCAAATAAAACCCGTAATTTTAAATAATAATCATTTTTAAATTTCGACGATAATAATTTGCATCAGACTCGCCATATTTTTCCCGGACTGTCTTCAAAACACTTGATTTCTACCAGCATGTGGCCGAGCAACATAAAAATGTCCTAGCAACATTTTGAATATAAATTCCCAAAAGAGTAGAATGTCCCAAAAATCAGCACCAACCAATGAAAAATGGTTTAAATTTTGGTACAGTTTCAGTATATTTTGGTAAAAGGGAATTTATTTTCTTTCATACGTGCGTGCGTCAAAAATTGGGCCTAGATAGGATGCCTTTTAGTCTGGAGAATGTCAACAGCTACAATCTGGAGAGATTCGGAGAATTTCCTCCCTCTATGGACTATTTTTACTAAGCTACTAAGGCTAAGGCTACTAAGCGCTTGCTTAGGTTTTACATGTATTTGATAAACAATTGTTTGGTTAAAAAATAAGCCCATTCTAGCGTTCCTGTTTTTAGAAAAATTTATTTACATATATTTTTATAGCAGTTCCGCCAAAAGGTCCACCAGGCCAAAAATCATAAAAAGTCAATAAAAACCGATTTCCATATAATTTTTTCCGGATATTTTTTTCTAAATTTATTGAACTTTTATTTACTTTATTGACATATCATTTCATTAACTTTGAATCGCGAGATTTATTGTTTCCGTAAGATACGTGTTTCTCACACCACGAAAAGGAGGGGAAAGTCACCACGAAAACGCTCTCTTAACCTCAAAAAAGAGAGCAAATTTTAAAAACCCACCACGAATTGAGAGCGAACGAGAAGGAACGTGCGAGTCGCTTCTGGGGACGCGACTCTACTTATACCCGTACTCAGTCAGTATATACATTTTTGATCTTATGATTTTTTAGAATTTTAGAAAAAAAAAATTTTACATTTTACATTTTTTGCTACATCTGATATCTAAATTACATCTACAATGTATATTCTACATCTAACATGTAGATTGTACAATGTACATGCTCCATTTAGATTCTACATCTCCTCCGCAGGGGTTGCTCGCGCACTGAACGCGGCAGAGTGTGCGAGCGAGAAGGAAAATGAGTTTGTTGTCGTTTGTTGGAGGGGGGCAGGGGAAGCAACTGAAAATTAATTTCTTCATTCTGGCTATAATTATGATCCGATCTGGTTCAGATTCGGCAGTCTGGTAGGTATGGGCATTCTCTACGATACTGCGTTTTTAGTTTTATCGTATCTTTAAAAATGTGCCTGCCACAGATTTTCGTCCTTTGTGGGGGCGGAAGGGGGCGGGGCGAAATTTTGAATACACTTGTAGCAGTGTGATATCACATGAGTGTGGAAACCAAATTTGGTTGCCCTAGCTCTTATAGTCTCTGAGATCTAGGCGCTCAACAAGACGGACAGACAGACAGATGGACAGACGGACAGACGGACAGACAGACATGGCTCTATCGACTCGGCTATTGATGCTGATCAAGAATATATATACTTTATGGGGTCGGAAACGTTTCCTTCTCTGCGTTACACACATCCACTTTTACCACAAATCTAATATACCCCTTAACTCTTTTTTGAGTACGGGTATAAAAATGTCAGTATTTTTTTGTGCGCTAAATGAGTTTGGCGGTTGTCTATATGTTGCTATAAACGGTATGGAAAACATGCAAAACGGACCAGATAATTAAAGCATATGCAAGGGAAACCCACCCCGATTCTCAACATACTGCCAAGATAGCTCTACCTCGTCCTCCTATCACCATGCTTGTCCTAACAGTGGGTGTTAGTCAGATGAAATTTTCGTACAAACGAATTGACAAAATAATGTTAAATTCTATCGAGAGAAAACGATGTTAAGATTTTCATTATGGGGGACCTAGTAATTAACACTAAAATTAACAGCGTCGACGAACAATAATCACAGATTGTAGGTAGACAGGTATTATAAAATAATAATACTTGTTTTTGTAGAGTACGACGTATAGGACTATTAAATCTGACCTTGGTTGGTATTGGTTTGAAATAAATTATTAATAAAAACAAGAGTTTTTATATTTGGTCTCTTAACAGTCATTACGCTAACATGGTTTTTAATACTTAGCTAACGTCGCTGATGTAAAGCATATTTATCGCTGCTTTATAGTTGGCGGGATAATTTTTCTTTAAAAAAAAAGATGACAAATTTAAGAAACGAAAACAATTTATGAATAAAAAATAAATTTAAAACAATTATAAAATACTTAAAATAGTAATAGTCCAAAAAGGAAGCGCACAAAAATTGTTTTTGTATTTATTTTAGTGGATAAATGCGTGTTTCATTGATTTCTGCTTTCTTACCAATTTACATACATTTTTTGGATTGCCAGACAGTTTGAAAAAGACAAGGTAAAGTTAACAGTTTCGTGTTGCTATTAAATACCAATTAGTTTAAACAAAAATATATATCGCGTTCGTTGGTTGCCCTTGGTTGTGATTTCTGAGAGGTATGTTTATTCTTAAATAACCACAATAAACATTTAAACATTTAAACAAAAAACAAATTAAATAATAATCAAACCATACAAATTAGTCGATTGAAAGATTCAGATGATGTTGAACTGTTACCTCTTCGCTGCACGTAACAAAATAAACATAAGAAATGTTAGGGAACACAACAATGTTGTGCAATACTAGAATATTAGAAAACGACTTTTGCGACCTCGCCCCACTGTACTCCGTGGAAACGTATTTACATCTAACCGAAATTCAGGACTAATTGAAGTTAGTTTATTTTCTTATGATTTTTTATGTATTATGTTTTTGTTTTGGGAGGACGATATTTTTATCTATTTTATTTGCTCCATACATAACATTGGCAAATGCAAACAGTTTAAGAAACAACTTTATTTTGTTTGTTTTAATTTAAATTTATTTAAAGAAAAACGGTCAACTTAGTAACAAACTTACACATTTCCTCGTCAGTGTCGTTGTTCATAGTTACATAAATATGTAAGTCAAATGTATGAAATGTGTAGTTACCATGTAAAAAAATCAATCGATATTTTACAATACGTTACGATACCTACTGTAGTGCTGTAAAGCGCGTTTCTTTTCTGAAGCCGAAAAACGGCTAAATTTGATTTTATATGGGAATTTTTGACCGTTCGTGCGAGGTAGCGTCACTGTTATCGATGTAGAAGCCGAACAACGCAAAAGCGCAAAAAGAGCTTTTAAAATTAGGTAAAGGAATATTCAAAGAGCATGTACAAAACACATCTCGGTAAAATTTAAGGTGATCTTTTTATTATACCCGTACTCAAAAAAGAGTTAAGGGGTATATTAGATTTGTGGTAAAAGTGGATGTGTGTAACGCAGAGAAGTATATATATTCTTGATCAGCATCAATAGCCGAGTCGATAGAGCCATGTCTGTCTGTCCGTCTGTCCGTCTTGTTTGACGCCTGGATCTCAGAGACCACAAAAGCTAGAGGAACCAAATTTTGTTTCCAGACTCATGTGATATCACACTGCTACAAGTGTATTTCAAAATTTCGCCCCGCCCCCTTCCGCCCCCACAAAGGACGAAAATCTGTGGCAGGCACAATTTTAAAGATACGATAAAACTAAAAACGCAGTATCGTAGAGAATGCCCATATCTACCAGATTGCCGAATCTGAATCAGATCGGATCATAATTATAGCCAGAATGAAGAAATTAATTTTCAGTTGCTTCCCCTCCCCCACCCGCCCACGACAACGCATCTCATTTTCCTTCTCGCTCGCACATTCTGCCGCGTTCAGTGCGCGAGAAACCCCTAGCGGAGGTGATATAGCATCTAAATGCAACCTGTACAATCTACATGTTAGATGTA